TAATAGTAGAGTTTTAGTTAACAATACCGACACTACAAAACTGTGGGGCGGGACTATCTGTTTACAGATTAACGACGGGCAGGGAAACTTTCTTCTTTGGGAAACCTGTTTGTAAACATTAAGCCTAATCATTTTGTAGTGGCACCATTAACTTGTCCACATGTGTCAACAGCATTTGATGCTTACAGGTAAGCCGCAGAGCACTCTATGAACCTTACTGTACATATTGAGCAATTTAAGATTTAATTAAGTCACTGGAATAAGGCCGTTTTACATATGCAATAACCGCGAATTCCTACTTCATTTCTAACGGGAAAAGGATGACAGGTAGCAGAACAGAGGCTGCACTGAAAGCGTCACTCCTCCCATATACACAAAAATACACACTGATATGAAAACCCAAGCTTCTTTATTCAATCTGTGAAATGTTCTCCAGCAGATGGCAGTTTGCTGCATTGTGATGTGTACCCATGTTGAGTTACGTAATACTGCAGTTACCCCTTATTACTAGTCAATGAGTTGCACGTGCTTATGTCTTATATGTAATGTATGGTGACGCTGAATTAATAGAAAAAAATATATATATATAGGAGAAAAATATTAGAAATATGTAAGAAATGAAATTATGTTGTGCAAATATATATCAAACAGTAAGTCATTTGTAAAAAATGAACTTCAAGGACTAAAATTATTGAAATAAATACATTTTAAGTACTTTTAAGTACTAAAATTACTGAAACTAAAAATAATAAACTGAAATACCATTACTAGTCAATGAGTTGCACGTGCTTATGTCTTATATGTAATGTATGGTGACGCTGAATTAATAGAAAAAAAAAATATATATATAGGAGAAAAATATTAGAAATATGTAAGAAATGAAATTATGTTGTGCAAATATATATCAAACAGTAAGTCATTTGTAAAAAATGAACTTCAAGGACTAAAATTATTGAAATAAATACATTTTAAGTACTTTTAAGTACTAAAATTACTGAAACTAAAAATAATAAACTGAAATACAATTAAAGCTATATAGAAATAACTCAATTAAAAAATGAAAACATGTAACCTATAGGTATAGGAAGCCATTTGTACACAAATTAGAATAAAAAACAAGACACGTAATCAATGCTTTTGCTTGCAAATGCACATTTTTATATAAAGTTGATAGAAGAGTTGACCAAAGTCATTGCACAAACTCACATTCATACACACCCATATACTGTAACAGATTGCTTCTTTAAATATATTAGTTACATCTAATTTTTGTTTCATTTTGATCAACAAATTTCACACAACGTGAAACAAAGAAAAGAGAAAACCATACTTCAGTCTTTTGTTGCTGTACAGTTTTTTTTTTTTTTTTTTTTGAAGAATGTTACATCAACCACAAAAATTGTATAAAACATAATAGCACATTTTGCCTCTTTCATTATCTATGACAAGACAAGAGTTGTTGTAATTAATGGCCTTTCTCCACACCAATCTGTTATGGTCAGTTTCTCATCACATCCAGTATCCCGTACACCAATGGAGCCATTTTTGTAGTAGCATCAATGCATGTCCAGTCTTTTTGCCTTATGTACAAAACTTCACTACATTCAGCTAACCAATGACAAAGGTCTTGTTATGGGTAATATGGGATATCTGCATTAATAGCACCATCAGTGTTTTATCAGGATGAGGCCAACACAAAATACGGGGATAAATGTAAATGTGTTATCAGCAAGTGATCAGAAATATGTAAATAGCCTTTTGTTTAAATGATCCCATACAGAAACAGGAAAAAAAGCTATTTAACTGACAAAAGACAAATAAATGGGGTTAAAGACTGTGGTCTGTTAGCTTTTGACTGTCATTGATCTTTAAAACTTCAAATGTGCATATTGCTAAATGTACTGCAAACAGGTCACAGATGACCTGCCATCTGAGTTGATTTGATCAGTTTTTGTGTGCTACAGGTAATTCATTTTAGTATCTTACATGTCATCAGTATCTCATCATTTGCATATTGAAAAGCTGCTGTACTTCTATAGAAGACGTTTAAGACTCAAAAATCTATTCAAACGCACGCTTTGCAAATGTTAATATTACACCTGCGAACTGCTTTAAAGTCACTCCTTCATCACTGTTCATCACCTTTAACAAAAACCGCACTTGTCATGTCACATGCAGAAGCTTGAATAGTGAGTGAACAATGTATGGAGAAAATGCTCGTGAAAAATTTCTCATTCACAGAATGACTGCACCTCGTTCTCAGGATGATTACTGACCACATCACTTCAAAATATCTCATCAGCAACCAATCTACTATTAACACTGGTTTGCAATTTGTGTCCAATTATGGAAGTAAAATCAACTGTGCTCTCAAATTTGTTAATACTCAATCTCAGATATGTGAGAGAGCATTAAAATGCAGAAAAAAGAAGACTAAAAAGAAGTGTTTTGGGCTAAATTAACATTTATAATTTTTGTAAGTGCTTTCTTTTAACAGGCCGACTTAAAACTGTAAAATAACCCTTTTCTAACTTAATTAACAATGGTTATTTACGGTCTATTTTGCACGTGACCCTTGCACTATTATGTTTTGCACTGGTTTTAGAGTTTCTTGTATCTGATATAGGGCTTTCGTGTATTTAAAATAACTATAGGGTTTTGTTTTTATCTATGCATAATTATGAAAATAGTATTCTGGACCTATAATGGACTAAAAACATGGCGATTTTCTAATAATGCAAGCAATTTTTCCTTTCTTTTTTAACAAAATATTTGTGACATTGTATGTCTCTGGCTCAAGTCTTTCCATAATGTCCCTTCTCTTTTGCTCCTTCAAAAATATCCCTTTCCTAATGAGAAGGCTACAAAAACTTAGTTTACTTCAAGCTGGCTTTTATAACTTTTATGTCTTTATGGCACATTATTTTTGGAACACCGTCCAAAAGAATGTCATACAAAAATTGTGACCATCAAATCATAAACAAATATCTTTAAAAAGTGTGTGGTTGGTCAAAGAAGCATGCATTAACACCCGTATAAGAACATACAGTACTTGCTGTTGAAAATACATAAAATATCTACCTCTCCTTTTGTTTGTTCCCTATTAGACATTTCAGTTCTTTTCACAATGACAATAGGTAGCGCAACTTGGAAAACACGTCTCCTTCTCAAGGTGAAAGATTCTGTTCTGTTGGAAGCGGTGCGGTTGTTTCTTCATCATAAATTGTCAATCATTTTAGCTCATAAAGCATCATAAATTTCCTTAAAATAGAATGTCCTTAACAACAATAACTGATGTATGTTTGGACAGACCACCTCATCAAATGGCCTTGAACCTACAGCAGTTTAAGACCCAGACCTTCTATAAAGGCCACTAAGATATGCTAAACAAACGTTAACATGTTGAAAACGTGATGCCATGCAAGAGCAGCAGTTCATGGTCCTCATATGTCACTTCATCAATGTTGGAGGATTTTTGTGAATGTAGAAATCGCAGAAGGTCAAACTAGAGTCTTTGGTTTGTATAATTTTGAAAGTGTTGCTAACTTGGCTCTCGTTTTCAAACTACTCAGTCTGTTGTGAGCACGGCAAGCTGTAAGAATACAGCACAAGCCGAGCTGTTCAATTAATGCCATTCAGTCTTTTTTGTGAGTCAAGAAGCATTTTTTATCGGGAGTCATAAAGACTGCTGCTCATGTTTTTGTATGGATGGAATCACTTGGAAAGGGCAACATGCTGCATGGTCGGTATATCCTGCAGTTGATTCGTTGACCTCAGGAACGCCACACGACCAGTCAATGAACACCTTGTTGGTTGGCAAGGTGTCGTCCTGCGTCTTGGTCAGATCTTAAAGGAATAGTTCACTCAAAAATGAAAATTTGCTGAACATTTACTCACCCTCAGGCCATCCATGATGTAGATGAGTTTGTTTGTTAATTGGAACAGATTTGGAGAAATTCAGCATTACATCACTTGCTCACCAATATATCCTCTGCAGTGAATGGGTGCCGTCATTATTAGAGTCCAAACAGCTGACAAAACATCACAATTATCCACATGACTCCATTCCTTCAATGAATGTCTTGTGAAGAGAAAAGCTGCATGTTTGTAAGATACAAATCTATTATTAAGGCGTTTTAACTTTACACTGTTGCTTCTGGCCAAACTGGCAGTCCATAATTCATAATAACGCTTCCTCCAGTGAAAAAGTCTATCCCCCATTGTCCACTCATATCAAAATCCACCAACATCTTTGTTTAGAATGTTTTTTTGCTTGTAAATGGTGCTTTATCTTTACTTTTTACTTTACTTTTACTTTTAGTCATTTAGCAGACGCTTTTATCCAAAGCGACTTACAAATAGGAAAAAGTAATTAAAACGAAAAGCTAAAAGCTTTTAAGAAAATAAAAGAAATTAAATAAAAATGAAAATTATCTGTGCATGTTTCTGTCCTGATTTCTCTTCTGATTACAGGAGAAAGCAATAATGTATGGATAGAAGATTCGTATTTTAGATTAAAGTCTTAATGATGAATTTGCTTATTACAAACACAAAGCTTTTCACTTTACAAGACATTAACTGATGGACTGGAGTTGTGTGGATTACTTGTGGATAACTATGCTGTTTTTATCAGCTGTTTGGAGTCTCATTCTGACGGCACCCATTCACTGCAGAGGATCCATTGGTGAGTAAGTGATGTAATGCTCAATTTCTCAGAATCTATTGTGATGAAGAAACAAACTCAATCTCATCTTGGATGGCCTAAAGATTAGTAAAAATGTAAAAAATTTTATTTGTAGGTGAACTATTCCTTGGAATGGCCAATCTAGTTGCATTCATTGCTACAAATAAGCTTCAAAACTATCTGAAACTTTTTAATACTAATAATGACACTAAAGTTTTTGTTTTGTTTTTGTAAAAAAAAAAAAATAATGTTTTTTTTTTCTGTGCACAAACTTTTTATGCACATTTTTTTTTTCTGTTTATGCACAGGCGCCTTACTTATCGATCCAGGCCTATAAGCAGCCGGCTCTCCTCCTCCTTTTGACTTTCGTTTTTCAGGTCAGCAAAAACCTGTGTGAAGTAGTGTGGGTCAGAGTTAAGCTGGAGCATTTTGCTACTCATGCGGTTGATGATCGCCAAACTGCGATTCCAGAAGGCATCCTTATCCGTCTCCACCAGGAAGGGCTTGAGCGGGTATGAAATCTCGTTTCCCATGTAGGAGTAGGAGAGGTAGAGGCAAGTGAGCAGCTCGGCCTGTAGCTCGCGCTCACTGGACACCTCGGCCGAAATGACCTCACGGCAGAGCATGTAGAGGAAGACCACGTTAGCCGGGGTGATGAAGCCCTGGTCCTGCCAGCCCTGCAGCAGAAGGGAGCGGTCCACGCTGCGCAGCCACAGAACAGGGTCGGCTGGGGAGAGGCGCTTCAATCGGTAGCAGCGTCGGCACAGGAACTCGCCTAGGCTCCTCAGGAGCTCGCTGGTGGAAGCCTGCACGATTACTCTTTTGGGTGTGCCCGCGTTGGTCGCTTGGCCCACCGATCCGGTGATGGAGGTCCTCTTCGCAGTGGAGGCCACATTGGTGGTGGTTTTCGATGTGGGAATGGAGCTCACGGCCGGCTCCTGGGTGAAGCCGGAGAGGTTGGCACAGGACTGGGACTTCTTCAGGTTTTGCATTCATTGCTACAAATAAGCTTCAAAACTATCTGAAACTTTTTAATACTAATAATGACACTAAAGTTTTTGTTTTGTTTTTGTAAAAAAAAAAAAAAAATGTTTTTTTTTTCTTTGCACAAACTTTTTATGCACATTTTTTTTTTCTTTTTTTCAACAGGACCCTTACTTATCGATCCAGGCCTATAAGCAGCCGGCTCTCCTCCTCCTTTTGACTTTCGTTTTTCAGGTCAGCAAAAACCTGTGTGAAGTAGTGTGGGTCAGAGTTAAGCTGGAGCATTTTGCTACTCACAGAGGCCAGCTTCTTAGAACCTTTTCTCTTGGCCGAAGCTGCCACAATGCGCTTCCATGGCAGGACATTGATGAATGACTGCCGTTTCAGGCTCTTGTCCTTGGCGTTTTTACTGTTCTGCACAGCTGTATAATGTGCCAGAGGTGGTGGTTTTTCATCAAACAGGCCTGCCTTTCGGTAGCTCGGGGACACTGAGAGTACAGTTCCCATGTTGCCTTGATTATTACAGGGTCTTTAGATACGGAATCTGCCCATGAAAGAAAGAAATATGAATGTTTAGAGACACAATACTGTTTCCAGATCTAAATAAGCAATGATTTTGATGAAACCTCCATCACCACTTAAACAGAACATACACACAAGTGCAAAACATATAAGAATTGTATATATATTGAAAAGTATGTATAGAAAACCAAATGTAAAAATCTTACAATTATATTTTAAAACATACAGATAGATTTCTTTTTTTTTTTTACTGAACTGAACCGCTGGTTTGCTATTCACCATGAGATTAAGCAGAATATGCGAAAGCATCCATTTTAGCTTCAAAATGGAAGGCGAGAATGTAAACACATTCATTCCCAATTAATATCTATTTGTAAGAAAAAATCCTCTAAGTGCGAATTGGAAATTGTTAGCTGACTGAAAAATGATTAAATTTAAGCTTAAGCACGTTTATGAACTCAGAATTGATCGAGCTCTTCAAAATGTTTAGTGGGTCAACGCGAGGAAATGAGAACATCACGCTTAAGTCAAAACGAGCTGTTGTAAATCAAGATAGCATCTTTATAACGACGGGCTCGTTTGGACGGTACAATTGAGTTTTTCACATTTTGCGAACTATTTAAGATCGAACCCTTTAAAAGCGTTTTTGAAATGAAGATAATTTGATTCAAAACCAGCATATATAGGTTATACACATAAATGTTGGTTACTTACTAATCAATACGTCTCACTCACGGTGATAAATGTAGATATAGAAGAAGAAGATCTGGTAAATATAGAAATATTCGTCGATTACCCCCTTTTTTCCCTCAGCCTGTCGCACTATGAAGCGTGCTCGTCGTTGTCCAAGGTGCTGAAAATGGGACGTCGGCGATGAAATAATGATTCTACGTAAAGCAACTCTGCAGGCTGTTCAGGATTCTTCGGTTGCTAAGGTTGCTTCCCAGATGCACGACACGTCTTCCCACATAAACCCTCGATACATGGCAATTCTGTTGTTTCTCCTTCATCACAATCAATCTCGACTCTGTTTAACATCTGCCGGTCTCTGTGATCTACTTATTGGACTGCGCAGGCGTATGAATAACAAGCTATGCTTGAATGTAACTGGAAATGCTTAAAAATAAAGGTCTAAAGACTAATCCTTAAGTGAAGTAGATTAATTGCGTTCATTGACCGCTATTTTTCGAGGGGGGGGGCATTGGTGCTCTCTCATGAATCTCAGATGGGTGGGAACTTGGCTGAGCTCCCTCTAGTTATCTGTCCATGCTGTCCGTCATGTGTACGCTGTCTGAAATCGCTCTCCACAGCACCAGCATCTGTTATAGCATCTCCTGAGCTTGAACATGAAAGGTAGACGTTTGACTTTAGACGCCCTGTTTTTACTCAATCAAAACCCAGAGAGTGTGGAAAGTCTCACACACAAGGCTCGATACAGATTAACTTAAATCCTGATGTGCAGTAATGTCGATGAGGCTTTGTAGACCTCAGTGGCGCAGTGACATGAATGGGCAACCCCATCCCCCTCTGATCTCTCTCTCTCACACACCCACACACTCTCTCAGTCTCTTATGCTTATCCAATCATCCTGCTCTGACTTTGTAATAGTAAGCAATAGTTTTTTTTTTTAATGGTGACCCATCTGAGTGTTTAATACGGAGCCCGGGAAGTCACCTGTAGGAGAAAAAAAAACAATCCGTGGCGACGGTTTTGCAATCCGTCCCCTCAGTTTATAAACCGGCATCATATGACCCCTTTAAGAATTCGTGAGTACGGTTTATAAACTGAGGGGACGGATTGCAAAACCGTCGCCACGGATTGTTTTTTTTTCTCCTACAGGTGACTTCCCGGGCTCCGTAGTTTTACACCCTTTTATGTTAATATTTTTAAGCTTATCCCATCCTTAAGTCATTGATGAAACAGCACTTCAGATTAAATTTAGGCGCTGGCTAAAATGAGAAGACAGACAGATAAATAGGCATTCAGATACTGACAAATCTATCTTGAATAATATATAATAATGAACAAATATCTATCTATCTATCTATCATCTATCTATCTATCTATCTATCTATCTATCGGGTTACATAGTGATAGATTATGGCATGATGCCAGTAAATTCTTCCAAATTCAGTCATTTACAGCATTCAAGACAGTTTGCATTAAACGTCAAAATCATGGATGTGCTATTACAGTTTTTTTTTTACAATCGCTAGGATACATTTTTCAATACTTAGTTGTTACATTTTTCAAAGCTGTCTTCACACACTTCTCCTTACCTTAACTTTTTGCTTGGCACAGCAGTAAATTTCACATCCAAAATGCACTAATACTACCAAAATACTTCATACTGTGCATGTCTCAAATCAAGTCATTCAACCATAACACTAGCAAAGTTTGTCACTCTAAAGAGCACTTTGTCACTCATAAAACAATTACTTAAAAACACTAACAACAGGTATAATTTTTAATTATTTTCTTTTGTAAAATGTCTTTACAAATCAAGAATGACAGCTCTGTTTAGAATTCACAGCAATGTTACATGGTCCATGTTTACATTACAGTACAAAATTATTTTTATAAGTTGATTAAAAACTAACACCTCAGTTACATCTAATTGTTTTGATTGTATTTAAATTTTTAGATTTCAAAACCCAGATAGCACACGTACGTTCGTATGTCTGTTAAAGATCTCTTCATCTGGAAAGCATCTGCTACAAACATCTGATAGATGTCTTTAAGATGTCAGTTTTGCATACATTCTAAATCATAAACATCTTAAAGACATTTTTAAATGTCTATTTGTCATCTAATAGGAAACGTTCTATAGACGTATTGCAGATGAGCAAACACTCTAAAAATTGTATTGCAGACATCAAATAGATGTTTCCGTGATGTACGTGTGCTAGTTTGAGGAATTTTCGTGGTGGCTGCGTCTGAGTGAGAAAAGAATATATAAATTGAAAGATGTCTTCACTAAATGTATTTTGTGCCACTGCCAAAGCAATTGAAAATGACCCACAGTTTAGCCAACATAGATTGCCGTTGTGTGAAGAGTAATTTTAAGTATTTAAAAATGTGTCGAGATTGTAAAAAGAAATACTGTATTTCTGATCGCTTTTAGCTAAACGTAAAACCAAGCACAGCCTCCTAGAGTGAGTCATACAGCCTACTGTATGAAATCACATACAACAGGTAGAATGTTAAAGTATCTAAGTAGTATAAGTATCGCTTTTTATTTCTCCTCTTTCCTACTACTTGTTTCACTTCTGTTTCAGTTTTTTATAACCATTTCTTACTATGTGTCAGTAAGTTGTTGTTATTTTAGCATGTGTGTTTGCCTCAGTGTTATTTTTTTTGTCAGCAAGTTTTGTTTGGCATTAAGTTTGATACGTGTTAACTTGTCACGGATAATTTGATCGCATGCAACGCCATTTTTTGTTTATCTGCGGCAGAATATAATGTTTCAAGTTTTTAAACTTTTTTTTAAAATCTCTTCATATAACAAGTAGGCAATATTTTTTATACACATTAAATCCGAGCAGCATACATACAGACAAAATAAATATTTCAAAAAGCTAAATTCAATAAGCAAAGCAAGTTATAATCGAAGTTAAATTAAACTTGCATCAAGTAATTTAGAGACTTTCAAGGCATTCCTTTTTGATCTGCTTTAAAAAATTTAATTAATTTTAGCTTGGAGCAACTTTAGGGAATCTAGATTTTTATAAATTAAACAAAAATTTGACTACTCTGTTTGATTAAGTCCATGTTCCCCTGCTGTTATCAACAGCTTTTGAAGCCCACCAGTCTAGCTAGTAATGTAGTTGAGGATCATGATGCCCAAGATGAACTTGCCTGTATTGTCACCAGAAAGTCTTAAGTTAACTATATAATTAAATTTAATAATACAATTATCTACTTTGTATACATTCACAGTCAAGCGAGACATCCAAGACAATGACGAAGAGGCTGTGCATGTCAAAGAACAGAGTATCTTGGAGCTGGGTGGACTGCTGGCCAAGACTGGACAAGCTGCTGGTAAACATCTTCATCTAGTGGGTTATGGCCCAATCAGTATACACATATATTAATGTATCTATATTAATGTATCTGATGTTTTTGAAGGCCACTACTCTGTCAGCTGTCATTTTTCTCAAGGTTAGTAACTATTGCGCATGTATTGGGATTTTGCAGAATTGGGAGGTTTGCTGAAGTATGTCCGACCATTCCTGAACTCCATCAGCAAAGCAAAGGCAGCACGGTTGGTGCGCTCTCTGCTCGATATGTTCTTGGACATGGAGGCAGCTACTGGTCAGGAGGTGGAGTTATGTTTGGAGTGCATTGAATGGGCCAAATCAGAGAAGAGGACCTTTCTCCGACAGGCCCTGGAGGTGAGCACAACTAGTTTTTGTGAATTAGCTATAAGTAGAGTAACTTTTTGTTTTATGTTGAGCTGGGACAATGTGTTACTGATATTTGTAGCAAGGTAAAGTGACTAGTATTTGACTGTTGATGTGATCTTGACGAGACTGTTGCTAGTTCACTGTATGAGGAAGGATTGAGAGAATATGAGTGTATTCAAACATAAATTCAGACAATATTGTGCATTTTTGTGATGTTCAAGGTTTTTTTTTTGTTTTTTTTAAAGAAGTCTCTTATGCTTTTATTTTAAGTAAATGTTTTCTATTTTAAAATGTAATTTATTCCTGATGTCAAAGCTGAATTTTCAGCATCATTACTCCAGTCTTCAGTGTCACATGATCCTTCAGGAATCATTCTAATATACTGATTTGCTGCTCAAGAAACATTTAAAACGGGATTCTTTGATGAACAAAACTTTCAGAAGAAAAGTTTTTGTTTAAAATTGAAATCTTGACCCCAAACTTTTGAACTGTAGTGTACATGCTGCAAACTACTTGAAATCTAGTCTGACCATTCAGACTAAGGCTCAGTCTAAATCAGATTTTAATTAGATTTCAAACCACATATCAATGCTGTTTGGAGTGTGTTTGCAAACATTGGATTCTATTTATTGTTTTGCTGTCAGTGCTACTAAAAAAATGGATTTAAGTTCAATATGCCAAAAAAAAAATCTGATTTCTTATCACTGTTGCTTCAATCCTTTAGGCCCGTCTGGTCTCTTTATACTTTGACACCAAACGTTATCAAGAGGCTCTACATCTTGGTGAGTCCTTGACAAGACCATCCCTTGTTGTTGACACATTCATATTCTTAAGCTTGAGCGATGTAATTGCATTCTGTAACCACTGTCCTCTTCTTCCTCGTCAATCAGGCTCTCAGCTCCTGCAAGAGCTGAAGAAGATGGATGATAAAGCTCTGCTGGTGGAGCTCCAGTTGCTGGAAAGCAAGACATATCATGCACTAAGCAACTTGCCCAAGGCCAGAGCGGCTCTCACCTCTGCCAGGACCACAGCAAACGCCATCTACTGTCCCCCAAAGCTGCAGGCTGCTCTAGACATGCAGTCAGGTACGTTTCTACAGTCCTTCCACAAAGACCCTCAGTATCACATCAAGTCCTAACCAGGCATGACACCTAATTTGTCCCTCCACACTGAAAGCAAAATTGTTGTTCAACATGATACAATTGCAGCCATTCAGAACCTATTTATTTGTATTGTAACAAGTTCAGAACAGCCCACAGTGAGACATTCACATGCATTGATAGAAAAGGTATTAACGCAACACACATGCACACAGTCTCAAATGCTTACTGCTTACTACAGTAACTGTTAATGTCCACTACGGTGGTTCACTACGGTTCTGCTCAGTGCTGCTTATAATGCTACATCACCTCCACTTTGGTGTGTGTCAGTAGCAAGTGTGTTTAATCGGTGTCTCTTTTAACACGACCAAATTAATCATCACATATATGCAATTACAGTTGGAAGGTTGCAAATGCCCGAAGAAAAGTTACAGTGTCAGTTTCACACTGAAATAGTTGCCTCTCAACCTGCCAACCAGCATTTAACTTGGTATTTGCATAAATTGAAGCGTTTCCCAACCTTTTTGATGCCCTCGGCCACTCTTAAGTTGTTTCTCCAGTCCACTGTCAATCCAACAATTCACTGTGCAAGCTTCAAGATCAACTCCCATTAGAAAGAATTGAAAATATTTGCTCTGCTCCACAGTCCACACCAGTGGACACACACCATTACAGTATTAGCAGCCATACTTCATCCTGCATTAATGGTACTGAGCCATCTTCCTGCAAAGGCTTAAATAATAGTTATGTGCATTACTTGAGCTAATTAAATGGAGGGAAAACCGATTGTGCGTACTATAGTGATTTACCCGATTTGTCAACATAGGAATTTTGGAGCTCGTATTGGACGTACCTATAGTCATTGTACTGAGAACATCACATTCTCTTTTTTTTTCCCCCTTGCAGGCATTATTCACGCTGCTGAGGAGAAGGACTGGAAGACAGCGTATTCATACTTTTATGAGGCTTTTGAAGGCTACGACTCTATTGACAGTCCCCGTGCCATCACTGCACTCAAGTACATGCTCCTCTGCAAGATCATGCTCAACTCGTGAGTCCTGGGTTTTTCTAGTGTCTCTCACGTTTTCTTTTTTCCTCTCTTCATTAAACACTTTGAGCATGTTAAACCTGTATGTATTTGTTTTTACAGGCCAGAGGATGTGCAGGCCCTGATCAGTGGAAAGCTTGCCCTCAGATATGCTGGCAGACAGGTAGATGTCTGAGCCCAAGGGTCTTGTTCATTCAATCTCATGGTGTAGTTTTTCCATGACCTCTGCAAGAAAACAGTCAGCAGCTAAGATCACATTATGATGTTATATGTTATTGTGTTTTTTTTCATAATAGTTTGAGGTCAAAATCAGATATGGTAATTTACCACTAACAAATCAGGCACGTTTTTGCATGTACCTCAATTTAAATGTTAAGTTGAACCTTCCCATATTTAAGCTTTGCATATTTCATTGTAGTATTTAAGTGAACTTGATGGTCTTATCGTAACCCCCATTTACACTTATGTTTGAAATTTGGGGGGTAATACTTTTTTATATATTTATTTTTTTAAAGAAATGAATACTTCTATTCAGCAAGGGGGCATTAAATTGATCAAAAGTGACAGTAAAGACATTTATAATGTCACAAAAATTTTTTCAAATAAATTCAGAATTTTAAATAAATTCTGCTTTCTATTCATCAAAGAATCCTGGGAAAAAAATGATTCACAGTTTCCACAAATATATTAAGCAGCACAACTGTTTTCAACATTGATAATAATAAGAAATGTTTTTTGAGCAGCAAATCAGCATATTAGAGTGATTTCTGATGGATCATGTGACACTGAAGACTGGAGTAATGACTGCTGAAAATTCAGCTTTGCATCACAGGAATAAATTACATTTTAAAATATATTAAAATAGAAAATAGTTATTGTTCAATTGTAATAATATTTCACAATATTACTGTTTTACTATTTTTGATCAAATAGATTTGAGCATAAGAGACTTCTTTCAAAAACATCTTTCAAAAATCTTAGTGACCCTAAACTATTAAATAGTAGTGTAATTTGAAGTTGTGAATTAAATTACAGCCTGGGGTGGAAAATGTTTCTGGAGGAGCCTGATACTTACCTGGTACTTAGACTGACATTAAAATACCATCCCAGACTGCAGCACACATTTCATAGTATCCAACCATTTTCACTTTTATATGACCCTGTATTGCCTTCTAATATGCACTCAGCCACAGCACCTGACCCTGTGTGCTGCTTGACAAGGTGACGTTTTTCTGTTGTGTCTGTTGACACATTATGTGGATCAACTTGTCCTGTCTTTCTCTTTCTGTAGACAGATGCACTTAAATGTGTAGCCCAAGCCAGCAAGAACAGGTCACTTGCAGACTTTGAGAAGGTGTGTCAGATGCCCTGACTTTAAATGTAAAAAACAGCAGGTGGACTGAAAACGTGGTAACATTTTATGTCCTTCTCTCTGATGTGCACTTAGGCTTTAACAGAATACAAAGCTGAGCTACGGGAGGATCCTATCATCAGCACCCACCTGGCCAAACTCTATGACAATCTGCTGGAACAAAACCTAATAAGGGTCATCGAGCCCTTCTCCAGAGTGCAGGTAATGACATGGTTTACCTCAGTGCGAGGTGATGTGTGCTTAAAACATTGTTGTGTACTAACATTGTTCTCTTATGCCGACAGATTGAACACATTTCTGAGCTAATAAAACTCTCCATGGTAAGGACTCGTCCCTTCAAATTTGCAATTAAAACATCAACAGTATCTTCTACCTGTTGCTTTATATGGCAAGCAAATTCTCACTGTTCCTTTTATTGCCATGTGTGTCAGTAATGTGTGCAGTTTTGTTTCAAGCAATTATCTTCCTTTCTCTTCCCTTTTCTCTTCAGGGGGATGTTGAAAGGAAACTGTCACAGATGATTTTAGACCAGAAATTCCATGGTATGCCCTCATCCTTGTCTTTTACTTGAAGTGTGCTGTCAAACATAGGACTGGGTATCAATACAGATTTACATATTCGATTCCGATTTTGATTTGATTTATTTATTTGGGTATAATTTAGTTACAAATTAAAGAAATTCTCTCTTCTAATGCTGTAAATTATACACTGTAATTGATTTTTATTTGATTTTATTTGAGGAGACTGATTGCCTCTAACCATTTAAGTTTAAAAAAGTTATATTTATGAGTACTTTCATTTCAAAAGTAAACTATAAACTCTGCTTAAATACCTGGTAGCGCTGAAACTTTACTGAATTGAAAACTTTAACATATTAAGAAAAATAAAATGAACTCAAAACCCTTGCAGTAACATTTAATTTTAACATATATTCTTATACAGTCCAAAGCGAAGTGTGCTGCGAGATAAAAATCTGCTGTAACTCATTCAGTTTGCATTCTGCTTAATGTAATCAGTTACAGAGTTCACATAAATATTTGCAGGTGCGATGAACTTTCAGTAATATTTGAGTGAAATAACTAATTTAATAAATTTGACTTAGGTTTTACAGTGTACAGAGCAGTGCTTCACACTGATTCAAACTATCTGAAATTTGTCAAACTATTCATTACAAGAACTGGCTCAAAAGAGCCATTCATTTCAGGAATTGGACTTTACTGGATGCGCTGTATGTTATGATCTATATTTTTACCCAGCCCTAGTCAAACATGCATGTAATATGTTATAAAATGAAGTATTTGTGGTCCCTCTAAATGTTTTCACTTTGAGTTATAATGTTGCTTTCTCAACGCCTTTAGGAATCCTTGACCAAGGGGAAGGTGTCCTGATTGTATTTGACGAACCTCCAGTAGACAAAACTTATGAAGCCGCCCTTGAAACAATTCAGAACATGAGCAAAGTAGTGGACTCGCTCTACAACAAAGCCAAAAAACTGACATAGGCAAGTGCATGTTGTGCTTTGTGCATAATATTGATACGTCTCAGAGTAACATGGCGTCACGTTGAAAAATGACTTGTCTTGGCTGATCTCTTTTGTGCAGGTTGAGCATTGGACCCTGCAGCTGAGAGCATGGCCAGTGTGGGGGACTCTGAGGGAAGGGGAGGGGGATGTGATATAGACATCAAGTCAAAAAAGGTCTAACACCCCAAAAATGGACTGACTCCTGCTGTTGTCCTCTCTGGCTTTCTCTTGGACATTTTTTACCACCTTCCTCAAAGGACAAACTACTTCTACTATGGGATCACAATTTTTTTTTTTTGTCCACTTAATTATATATATATATTTTTTTTTTTTTTTTGCTGGTAATGCATTTCTTTGTATCTTGGTTGTGCCTAATGGGCCATCAGGGAATCTTCACAAAAAATAAAAACTCACTTGCATTATAACTATTTGAAATGTATATACATAGATCTCTCATAGAGCAAAGCTGATATGAGAATGATTTAGTTCCCTTGCCAATCCAGGGGCCATTGTATCGAGCTGTCGACAAGATTCCCTGCATCACCGATCGAATGGTTTTAGCCCCAACTCTGGTCCCCTAAGGAAGCCCCTGGCCTCACTTCAGGCCTACCTCTCGTGCAGACAGCATACTTGGACTTTTTATGTTGGGCGGAAAAATTCTGATAAGATGCTGTCATCAGGAAGGGGTCATGAGCTGTTGTCATTCCCTGGCCCGTGCATTCCTGCCCTTCCTCCTCCTTCCTCTTTGTACATAACGTTGCCAAGCGCCTCTGTCTGGCCTGTCATGCTGTTGCCCTTTTTTTATAACGCTAAAAAAACATAATAAAGTCACCAAGAGAACAAGACTCTGAGTGCTTCTGTACAAGATCCTAGGATTCCGAGATCACCTGATTTTTTTGTAGACTGCATATAAGATATTTGCTTGTCGATTCATCTGAAACGTGTAGAACGCCCTGTTTGATAGAGCATCTTGGTCGTGGAGGTCTGTAATACCCATTAACAATTGGAGTAAACAAGTTTTGATTGATAGGGCCCAATAATGATAATAAAGTCTTCAGTTTTGTGATGCAAAAGAATTCAAGTATTTTATATTAATAATTTAGATTCTACGTTTTATTTTAGTAATAACAAAATATTTTAGATTCTTTATTTTGTGAGCCAAGTCAATTATGACCGTGAAATTGTAATAACATATGTTCTAAATGTGATCTTATTAGAACGTTCTAGAGCACTATGCCAATCCATGACATCATTAACTACGTGAACAACTGACTCGTTTTTTGAAACTGTTCTCTGAAACGAACTGTTCGAAAGAATCGATTCACAAAATAAGTCAAAATTCCCGTCTCTAGGGCGAAGCGCGCATGCGCAGCTCTTGCCTGTGTCGCTGTCCGCTGCTGTGGTGCTGCTCTAGTACTGCTGCGTAGACCTCTTCCGAGCGGAATCACCTAACGCAAACATGGCGACCCGGGTAAGATATGCTTCCATTTGAATTATTCAACGAATAACCTTATACGATATTAAGAATCAGCACTGAGTTTAAATGTAATATAATATTTCACAATTATCGCTCTGGAGAAGAGCTTTAGCGTCTCATTTAAAAAAAAAAAAAAACCTTTCCAGTTTGATGCCAGCTACTGGCATCTTTCCACAATATCGCCAGCCTACAGACAGTAGCAGGTGGCGATACGGTCAACTGTGACCACCAATGCAGATCTGCAGCGATATTGCTGGTTTTTGGGTTACATTACAATTCATAGCATGCTAATATATGGCTACCGCACAAGGATACGCGGGAAGCTTTGAACAATAATAATAATACACCCTCATGAGTGCTCGAATCTCGGTGGTGGCACGAGAACATTCATTTTCCAGCATTTGGGTGCATCGTGAAATAGTGGTGATTGGTTGTTTCTAGTCTCAGCCCATCGGTAAACAGGCAAATGCTTAAAATAGAACCGAGGAGGTTGTCCATTTGCTTTAGCCCATCGATAAGGTACAACGTGAGCGAGCAGGCGGTTGTTTCATATTAATCATTTAATATCGTTTATAATAACCTATATTTTCAGTAGCCATGTACCGTATTTTGTGCTGCAAAACGCTGTCATGAAGAGTGAAATGACAGGACTGTGCTCGTTCAGCGGATTTAACCTTGACATGGCTCGCGTAATGCTCACATAAGCTCATCACACCACACTGTTTCTGCTTTGAAAGCTCGCGATGAATGAGCAAGCCTGTGATTTCGCGTCTAAAATCATGCATTTGCTTCAAAATCTCTACAGAAACACATTGCTTCCCCAATATGAATGTAGTTTGTGCGCAAAACTACAGCACCCCCTCTCCGTGCTGCAGGATGGAGCGCTGTAGGTCTGAACGGGTGCTTGTTATTGAGAATAATGCTTTCAAAATGGCATCATTGTCTTTAGTTTTATTTGTGGATAAACTGAGATTTCAGTGTTCCATTTAAGCCCTTGTTAAATTTTCCACCTATCTATTTATTTATTTATGTTTATTTTTATAATTTATTTTAATGATAATTTCATGATTTATATATATATATATATATATGTATATGTATGTATGTGTGTGTGTGTGTGTGTGTGTGCAAGATCATGTAGTTCATACTCTCTAAATGCACTGCAATATAGTGGGGGATTTTAATTAAGGTGACAATGAAGCCAAATACTATAGGGACATTAATATACTATAGGGACCTCTGCTCAATCTGGAATTAAACCAAACCATGCTGGTTTTGTCTGGCCAGAGGAGAACTGGCCCCCCTGACTGAGCCTGGTTTCTCCCAAGTTTTTTTTTTCTCAATTTCTGTTACCGATGGAGTTTTGGCTCCTTGCCACTGTCGCTTTTGGCTTGCTTAGTTGGGGACACAATTTCTGGCAACATTGCTGACTTGACTGCACAGACACTATTGGAAGAGAACTGAACTGAGCTGGACGATGACAACACTGAATCAACAATGAACTGATTTTAACTGATAAACTGACTGTTTTCCATTCTGCTCTTGCATTCCAGTTTAACACTGTAAAGCTGCTTTGACACAATCTGTATTGTATAATGCGCTATATAAATAAAGGTTACTTGACTTGACTAATAAACCACAGGTATTATTGTGGGATGTAATGGGACAATTAGGCACAATCAAAATGTAATAAAAATAAACACCTTGATCCATTAAATTATATATCTTTTATGCAATCTGCCTGTATCATAATTGTTCTATGTATTTGTATGTATATATGTGTATATATATATATATTATATAGTCACAGTTTACTAATAGCTGTCACTGTATTTAATGGCTTTAGTATGCTTAAGGTAGGACAGAACATGCCAGTGAAAGAGCAGGTGAAAGCTGTTCAGAAATTTATAAATGCCTGTCACACACCCACGACCAACTGTAAGAAAAGATGAGCATTTATGAGTCACACAGTGTCAGTGCCCAATGCCCATCATGTTCTCTGGAGCGATTCTACTGAAGAAGAGTAAATCAAGATGAGAGTGGAGAGAGTGAACATTGGAAAATCTGTTATTCAGGTTGTATTTGCTGAGATGCCATTGTCAGCAGAACAATTTCTTCATTCTTTTGATTATGATGAGATATTTCTTGTAAGCTGCGCTGATCAAACTAGACCAAGGCAGACGAACTCTGTGTGGGCATCCTTCACCCACAGAGTTCAGCTCAGTGTTAAATTACTTAATACTTTCACTGGCTTCTCAGAGAGAGTATGAATGCTACACAGTCTGGTTGTGTCTGTCATAATGCTCTCTAGATGTATGTGAGTTCTGCTCAATATCTGTTAGGATGAACTGAAGGAAGAATATGACATTTTCCTTTGTGAGTGTCTCCCATGAGTACTGGTTGTCTCTTAAGAGAATTTCCCCTTTAAATTCCATTTCCTCTGCTTTAAATAAATGCTTCTTGCTTCTGTAGCACTAATATACATCGCTTTATTTAATCTGAAATGGCTACCAGATAAATCTTTTTTTATATTAGTGAAAAGGCTTCTGTGAGCATCAAAAAGTGGCATGGGCACTAGAATAACTGCCAAGCTCTATTAAATTTGAATGAATAATTTATATTGTTGAGAAATCCGGCCCATCACTTGTGGCTCTAATCAAAGCCCTGCATGAAAGCTATTTTTTGTATTGTTATGAATGCCACGCAGCTAATTAACATCATATGAGGTTTATTATCATCTATACATTTAAAGCAACATTTTGACATTAATTTCATTTTACCCATTAAAACCAGTATTTGCGGACATTAATGGTTTCTTGCTTCAATTAACTCACAAGCAGCAATCTTCTTCATGCAATTATTTCACATCAAGCAACTAAATGCATGCCAAAAAAAAAAAAACTGATCAGAAGTGATTTAAAGTTTTCTCTCTGTCCCGGAAATGATTTCAACTAAGATCTCCCTCTGGGGTAATTAAAAGCAAGTGATAATTTGGAAAAGCTTGAAATGTGTTTCAGGTCAAGTCATGTCATGTCATGTTCTAACAGTGATATATAATTTACATCAGGCTCATTTAATGTTCATTTTTTTATTCACCTTTTTACATTTTCTTTCTTATTTTTCTTTAAACTGCTTTGACTGTAGTTTTTCTCAGAATGATTTTCAGTTAAAAGTGAAAGTGACGTGACATGTGGCCAAGTATGGTGACCCATACTAGGAATTAGTGCTCTGCATTTATCCCATCCTAAGTGCCCACACACACACACTGTGAACACACACCCGGAGCAGTGGGCAGCCATTTTTGCTGCGGCGCCCGGGGAGCAATTGGGGGTTCGGTGCCTTGCTCAAGGGCACCTCAGTCGTGGTATTGAAGGTGGGAGAGAGCGCTGTACATTCACTCCCCCCACCTACAATCCCTGCCGGTACGAGACTCGAACCCACAACCTTTGGGTTACGAGTCCGACTCTCTAACCATTAGGCCACGACTTCCCCAAAGCCCATTAAAGCCCATTAAACTATAATAATAACTATAATGATAATTATATCAGTGATCATTATACTAACACGCGGTATCGTTCTGTTTATCATAAGCGTGTGCTGCTGTTTTGTCGTCTGCTTTAAATGCTCAAGCTCTTTAAAGTCATGTGGATTCTGACTGGCTGTCAGTGCTTTTATCGTGCATCAGCTGGAAAAAAAATCGCTCTGTTGTTGTCGTTAATAGTTGTGGTGTGGACTGTCCTATTCTCACAGAATTAGAATGATAATTAAATTATATGGTTATTATTATAGTTACCGACACCAATCCTAATAGAAAGTTAAAAAGAACAGCATTTATTTTAAATTGAAATCTTTTGTAACATTATAATTGTCTTTACTGTCAATTTTGACTAAATGAATGCATCCTTGCTGAATAAAACTGTACAATTTTTTACAAAATCTTACTGACCCCAAACATTTGAACTATATATATATATATATACAGTCATGTGAAAAGGTTAGGACACCCTATTGAATTCCATGGGTTTCTGTATCAGGACATAATCGAGTCCTTGGTAGGTCTTAAAAAATTGGAAAATAAAACCTCAGATGAACAAAAGCAAAGCCAAGATGGAAAAGCCATGTGTGACAAAGTTAGGACACCCTTACTGTTAACATAGGAATTAAGAGGGTAAGTAACGGTCAGGCACTGCTAATCAAATGCCTTTGATTAACTGATCATCAGCAAGTGTGAGCAGCTCTATAAAAGCAGAAGTTTTGGCAGTTTGCTGGTCTGGAGCCTTCAGGTGTTTGTTAACACAATGCCAAAGAGGAAAGACATCAGCAATGATCAAGCAATTGTTGCTGCCATCAATCTGAGAAGAGT